TGCATGTTTTCAATGTCGTCATACTTCCTGGGTTTGGAAAACTTCCTTGATTTGTCAGCCACCGCTACGGTGTTGTTTGGTCCATGTTTCCTTTCCTGATGTCTGATGTTTTGATGATTTTGCTTGTCCGGGTTGTCTCGGTTGTTTCTATCAGGGAACCTTTCTCGTGTCTTCTCTTCTGCAGTAATCATCCTTTCTAGTGTGCATCTGAATTCTTCATTGTTTCTCGGGTTTTCTTTGCAGAAGTCTTGAAATTGCCACCTAGCCATGATTCCATGGGAGAAAGTCTCGATTACTTCTCGTTCGGTGATGTCATGTACTTGAGCACGTAGTTCACCAAATCATCGATAGTAATTTCTGAGACTTTCGCCCCCTTTCTGCTTGAGTCCCTTTAACTTTGCGTGGGTGATGGGGTGCGTAATGATACCCGTGAAATTTTCACAGAAAACTCTTTACAAGTCCTCCCAATTTCTGATTGACCCTGAATTCAATTTGTCGAACCATTGGAGGGGCATGGTTTCTAGGGCCATGGGAAAGAACAAGGTCTTGATATCGTCATCTCCTCTGGCTAGTTCAATCGATTGTGTGTAAATTCTGAGCCACTACCTTGGTTCAGTCTTGCCGTCATATTTAGAGTGGTTGGACGACTTGAACTTGTGAGGTAGTCGTATTGAAGCAAGTCTGTTTGCAAAACAGTGGAATCTGTCGTGCGTTCTGGCTTCTTTGTATTCTGATTCAGCACCTCCTTCCAGCCAACTGTTGTTTTGGTGAGAGTAGTTCTGCGGGGCTGTCTGAATGGGTGCTTCACTTCTGATCTTTCTTGGTTGTTCGACTTGGTAGTCTTGACTGTGGTCCCTTCTACTTTCTTTGTTGTGACTTCCACTTGGTCTAAGTCTCTCGAAAGCGGACTTCCTTTGATTTTGATCTTCCTTCCTATGAGATGTTGACCTGGCAGGTAGTCTTGAGGGGGTCCTTCTATCGTGCGTCCTTAGGGCTGCTGACCGGAGAAGGTCCCGGAGCTGTTCCTGTTTTTCGCTAGGATGTGATGTTGCTTCGAGTTCTTCTAGTGCTTCTCGGATCCTATTGTAGGGTGTATTTGCCGCGCGTCTTTCTTCGACTTCTTGTTCTGATTTTCTTTTATTGTACTCGGCCAGATCTGACTCATATCTGATCCAAGCTTCCTTGTGCTGCCTAGCACGGCGTTGGCGTCCTTGTTTCAATTTGTTTCTTCTTTCTCTGGCTTGCTTCTGATTCTCGATCTCACCATCATGCCCCTGGATGAAGGGTGATATGTTGGACTCAGATTCATCCGATGACCTGATGTCGGGTACTTTTGGGGGGACCAATGGTGATCGAGGATGGCGAACCATGAATACCTCTCGTGCGTGAATTGTTCTGTTATCGGCGTTGGTTTCCACACTGTCGGAGTTGTTGATAACTTTAGTAGAGGCTTCAAGGTCACAGATCGAGTCTCCTTCTTGGTAGGGTAGGACTGCTGTTGTCGTCGTGCCAATCAGTCGGGTACCGCTATTCTCAGGAACAGAACCTGGCCAGTGGACGATGCAGTCTTGAGATGTTATAGTTAGTACAAGACCTTCCTGAGCTCCTCTCAGTGGCATTCTAAGCACCGGATCGAGGGACTCTTCGAGCTGTGCCTGATAAGATTTTGCCATGTTGTGGAGTCCGAATGAAAAAGGATCTGACTTCTTGAAAAGACTCTGAGTGTACTCTGAGTTGTATTCTTGATAGGTCGAGGCCGCGTTCTGGAGCCCCACCGGAAAAGAACTCGGACTACTCTCAAGAGAACTCTGAATGTTGAACCCTGCCAGAAAAGAACTTGGTTTCTCGGAGGAACTCGGGTAAGACTCCATTTTGGATGCGGAGCCTGAGTCTGAGTCTGAGTCGGATGCGCAAAGCCGCGAAATCTGAGTTGGATCGACCATCATGAGCTGCGCGAGTCTTCCGGTGAGTTGATCTGTAGTCGTCGAAATAAGAAAGTCTTCATGGTGATCCGAATCTTCGAGGAGACGGCTTTGGAGCCCGCCATCATCGCCTGCCTCGTAGCCATGAACCGAAGATAAAGGTTGATCCTGTCGAGAAGATCATGTTGTCGAGGTCCGTCGAGGTCTTGGATGCAAATTTGCCGAAAGCCCCTACCTGGCGCGCGCAGCTATCGATGTTTGACCACCGATAGCCTGCCACAGGGGTACCTGGGGCAGTTTGTTCGGGCTTCAGCGTATGCAGAACTCGACAGTAAACGCAAGAGACAGTCGATTTATCCTGGTTCGGACCCTCGATAGTGATCGAGTAATAGCCCTACGTCCAGTTGACGTTAGCCTTTGTGTTGGATTGATTGTGTCATGTCCAGTCTCTCTAATTCTAGGAATCCTGCCCTCCTTTATATAGTTAGGAGGCCAGAGTCCTAGTCGGTTTACAATGAGAGTTCCTAGTAGGATTACAGAATAATACTACTACTAAGATTACATGGGAAGAATCCTAGTTAAACTAGATCTTCTCCCTTCCTTGCGGGGTATCCCGTGGGTCCCGCATCGACAAACGGGTGCTGCGTGGGAGAAACCATCCTATTACGAATTGATAAACAAAACGTTAGAGTATTCAAATTAACAAAATTTAAATTAACATTAGTAAATTCACAAACAAATCACTAACCTAACTATCCTAAATCCCTAAACCCAAAATCCTAACTATACTAGATAATAAATACATAATCAATCCCTAAAGTACCTAAACCCTTTTGGGTTTAGAGTAAACTAGGATCTATACCCAAAATCCCTAACTAAATAACTAACTATAAACTAAATAATAAATATATAATCAATCTTTAAACCCAAAATCCTAACTATACTAGAACACACAACCTCAAACCTACGTAAATCACAAACAAATTCACTAATCTAACTATCCTAAATCACTAACTATCATAAATCAATACCAATCATAAAACCATAACTATTCTAAATCACTAACTATTCTAAATCACTAATTATCCTAAATCAATAATAATCAAAAAAATATGAAATCAACCCTAACTATCCTAAATTACTAACAATCCTAAATCACTAATTATCCTAAATCAATAATAACAAAAAAAAATATGAAATCGAGAGGAGGTACCATAGGAGCGGGCGGCCTTGACGCGCCGGCGTTCTTGACGCGGCCGGTCGGGCGCGGGCGCGGCGTGGCCGGCCGGGCGCTGCGCGGTGGCTGGCGGCGCTGGCGGCGGAGGAGCGAGTGCGGGCACTGGCGGCAGGCGGGCGGGCAGGGTGCGTGCGTGCGGGCGGGCACGCGGTATTTATTCGGCTCTGCCGCGCCATGGATTAGGGCGCGGCACTGCCGCGCCAAGGTCGGTGGTGCGGCAACAGCTGCCACGTCAACGGTCACCGAAACCGGTCGTCGCCACGTCAGACCGCTACCGCGCTACCATGCATGGAGCGGCATAAGCATTTGACCGCGCCAGGGCAATAGGCGCGACCAAAAGTGTTAGTTTTAAAAAAAAACATGCAGTGTTAGATTTAAAATTTGTTATAAAAAATGTTAAAATTAAAAAAATTCCAAATGGACGGATATTTAATGGTAGGATTTGATATTAGTTTTTTAACCATTTATAATACTTAATTTGCTGACATGTTTTAGTCTGTCTTTATTTTTCGTTTTATAAAATTAGACACTCACATACATATACGTACTATTAACATCTATGAACGGTCTTGAAAAGTAAAACTAACACGTACATTATAAGATCTTCATCAAGAAGTTATCACAGGTGCCTTCCTGTGATTCTGTGAACAAGTATGTTGCCTATTATTGAAATGCCAACACATGTGTTAGGCATGCATAGATAGACAAAAACATTAATCAATTGGGCAATGCCCATTTCGCAATCACAGTATGCTATAATATCAATTTAGAGCTTTTTACCAGAGGCTAATTGTTTATAGATACTAAAATTTAATAGACCTAGATCCAAACACAAGGGCGGCTAACATGCATGTGGGCTAAAAATAGTTAAACCCTTGACTAGTTGTTAGCTATTAGCTGACATATATAACCAGTTAATTAACAAAATCTATTAGTTTATTGCTAGGAATGTATGCACCCATTAATCATGAATCCAAATATGTACTTGCCAATAACTAAGTGGCTACTTTTTAGCTAGTCGTTGATCCAAAAAGTTGCTTAGAGCAACTCAAGAGGCTCTTTATATTCTTGTTAATTGATAGAAATAGAGATTTTGATAAAATAAAAATACTCTTCAACAACTTCTTTAATTAAATCTCCAAATATAGTTATCATCTGTTTCAGATTTCTCGTTAGGCAAAGATGGAGAGTGAAATTGGCGCGCATAAGTACGTAGAAAAACTGTTGGATGGTGGGAAGATATGAAAAACGTTTTTATTCAAATGTCACTCTAAATGAAGATTGAGAAAGTGAGTTTAAGAGAGACACTTCAAGATGCTCTTATTATACCTTATTAAAGAATATCATTTTTATATGGCTACAATTGTGCAACTGTTTGAAAATTAAAATTAAGGATTGATATGTTGGAAGCTGTGGTCCAAACCGTTTTATACCAATACCGAAAAAGGAAAATCAGGCAAGGAGATTTACCTATATGCCCCTCCCGGTTTAGCCCTCAGTCCACGCACTGCACGGCACGGCACGGTAGCCGTCAGCCCATCACAGAGCTTTCATTAGCAGCGACAGAGCCACTACACACATTTTACACGTATCGACACGTCCCGACGTTAAAGTCTCGGACCTGCGTTCGTTTTATCTCCGTTCCTCGTGTCATGAAAGCTACCTCTCCTATCCTCTCCTCTCACTCGTCGTCCGCGAGGACCGACGACCCAATGCAAAGTCTTAAAGTCTATCTATCATCACGGCCATCTCCGTCCACTTTTACTTTCACTCCCATCCCATCTCCGTCGCATATATATTAGTGTGTCTAGCTCGACACTCTTCCCATCTTCCTTGGTCCCATGGCGTCTCCTGGCTCCGACGATGGTGTCTCCGGCGGCGGCGATGGTGTCTCCGCCGCCGCTGCCGTCGTCTGCTGCATGTGTGGCGACCATGGCCTGCCGCGCGATCTGTTCCGGTGCAACCTCTGCCGCCTTCGTACACAGCACAGGTACGACCATCAATACTCCGATCGATATATGAGGCGGCCGCTCTCGGCAAGATTTATTATTGTTGGATTTTTGGAGGAGCCTTCCGCTGACAAAGGAACGCATCCGTCAGATACTGCAGCGACCTGTACCCGAGCGTGGCGGGGCCGTACCGGAGCTGCAACTGGTGCCTCAAGCAGGGCGGCGCCGCCCGAGGGGGCGACTCACCGTCACCGGTCAAGGCGCTGGCGGCGGCGGGGGCAGGGACCAAACGGAGGATCAACGATTCTCGTGGCGACGACGACCGCGATAATGATGAGAGCGCCTGCTATGGATGCTCCAGGTCAGCGTTCTCGGCGGACCCCGGGAAGCCGATCAAGAAGCCTAAGAAGGGCCATGAAAGAGGGGTGCGGCGGCCGGAGCCGGTGGTCACGATGGTGTCTAAGAAAAAACGAAGGGAGGTGCAGCCTGGCAAGCCACGGTTCAAGGTGAAGGTGCGGCGGTACAAGCTCCTCGCGGAGGTGATCTGCTAGTCTGTAGGAGTTGATACATGGCTATGCTGCGTATGCAATAAAGGCCAGCGACGAAGAGAATAAGCCGTCGTCTGTGTTTAGTTAACTTTACGTAAGTAGCATTATTTTTTTATAAATTTCAAACTCTAGAGTTGCAATTATTTTGGGACGGAGGCGGTAAACCATTTTAAGGTTGATATATTTGTACAAAACTAATATTTATGATACCATATAAGTATTATTCGAAAATATTTTGTATATATATTATACCTATTTGGTCTGATAATGTTGATGCTGTTTTGTATCCAGTTAATCAAATTTAAAATGGTTTTATATAGGATAAACCTACAACATCAGTTATTTTAGAACTAAGGGAGTACCTATTAGTGAGAAGGACGTTTTTATTCTCATGGTGACGCCTTAAGTTTGTGGCTCACCTTAGAGGCTTTTTACTCATGGTGTATCTCTATAATGGTTATTGCTCATGTATTTATTGCTTAAGGTCATCTTTTCTCAACATTGTGGATGACCAACAAATCTCAACCATAGAGCCAGATCCTAAGTACAAGCATACACAATAGTTTCAAACATCAGATTTCTTTTAGGTTAAAGTCCGCTACAGATTCCTAAACTTATGCTGTTGTGTCATCCCGATCTCTAAACTTTCAAAACGCTCATCTAGATACCTAAACAATGTTTGGGTCTCATTGCAGTTCTATCGGATCTCCATACGGTACTCAAACTTGTTTAGTTGTATCATTTCGAGCCTAAACTATCAACCAACACATCTAGCTTGTCGCTATTGCTGCCGTCAGCCTCTCCACTCAAGGGGATAGGGCAGCGTCCACGAGCGTCCTTGCCCTCGGATGCTGTGCACGTCCCACTTTGGTACAATACAATCTGCTTCGACGTTGTTTGGATCCCTTGAATAACAATTAGTTGGCTAAACTTTAGCCCTTGAGAATTCAAACAAAAGGACTAATGGGTGAGCTAAAGTTTAGCCAAAGCCTCAACTAGTTTTTAGTTGAGTAGTTCATAAAACCCAACTATCAGCGGTTAACAACAAGTTCTAGTCTATAAAGCCCAACAACTAGTTCAGGATCAAATAAATATGGACCAACAACTAGTTGGCTAATTTCTAGATGACTATTTTTTTAGTCATGACTAATAATTAGTCCTAGTCCATCTAAACAAGACCTTATAAGAGCAGTATTTTTGTCGAGTCAAATTTCATCTCCTATCCGAGCCAAACTCCACTACCTCCCTCTCGATCCTGGTCCCAAGCGGACAGACTCCGGTGGTCCCCAATGCATAAATAAAGACAGACTTGGGTCCATTCGGTCGCTGAAACTCTCCCGGCCAAACATGCACTAAAAAAAACAAACTGAAAGATTATAAGAAAGTAATACTAATGCATTAATACCTAATGTGTGATGTGTGCAGATTGATGTTTCAGACTTGAGAGATGCACATGAGGTACGAGTAGTACAGAAGAGGGAGCAGTCTCTCACCACCTGGCGGACGATATCGAGTTGTGCAAAGATGGCCTTCGGCGGTTTCGATGGTGCTGTTGATGTTCTCGTTCGAGGTCGTGATGACATGCACCCTCACCTGCGATACGGCCGAATCAGACACAAGTCATCTCACTATCCTCGCCGGAGGCTGCCTGAACCTGGCGGTCGACGAAACCGAGGGCAGTGACCGTGCTGTTCATGTTCTCTGATCCTCGTACCACTGCAAGCCTGCAAGGTATCCCGCAGAGCGCTCGCTTGCCACGACAGCGCCTCCATCCCCTTGGGTATCCTTCGACGAGTTGGCGGATGGGGTGCTCGTCCTCCTGAGACGTTTTTGCAAGGAGGGCGGCCATGGAGGCGCTTCTAGATTACTCGAGGTGGTGACGTCGTGTACTGGCATAGCCACGGAAGGAGGAGACAACGAAAGCCTGAGCGCTACTGTGAGATTCGTGGCCGTTTGTATGTAGACTGGAGCTGGATCTTATTTTCGAGTTTTCGACTGTAGGCTCCGTCTGAGCTAGGGGCCAAAAAAGCGTCTTAAACGAGGTCATGTTAAAATAAAAAATAAAGATAAGATCAGGGTGGCTAGGACATTGCCTATAGAAACTGGCTTCCTTGTGCTAATACGTGCTGAATAAACCATACTCGAACAAAAATAAAAAGGCCAACGCTGGTTCGGGTTAGTTGGGCCTTAGAAAAAAAGGAGACTATTTGGCTCATGCAGCGCTAGATTAGGACGTCTCGCTATGGGACAATAGGACAACAGGTGCAAGGGCAGATTTTTTTAGATAAAATTCATAGAGATCCTTATAATAATGATTTTGATCTAAAGTACATAGTGTTATGCCCCAAGTACATAGGGCTTTCGTAGTTTTTCATTCAATCTCATGTTATACGAGAGTTGGAGCAGCATATGTGACAACTGCTGCGCTGCCATAATAGTAAGTGGCATATAAATCATCAGCTGCCGCCGCCTAAGGTAGAGCCGCTGCCACCTGCCTGCTCCTGCTCCTGCTCCGCCGCTGCCACCGTCGTTCCTAGGGCCTCTCCTTCTTCCTCTTCGGTGTGTCTGCCGGAGACAAGAAGGGAGGGACTCATCCTTTTCCTATAGTTTTCTTATGTTTTATGGTTGAGTCCAAATAAATTTTCGGCGAATCAGATGATTTTGGGTTGGTTTTCGTGTGACCTACGGTGACTTCGGCGATTGCTATGACGAAATCACCATTGCAGGCATCGATTTCTTTGTCAGACGACTAATTGGAGGCCTTTATCTACAAGGGGAGGGGTGCTTCTGGGAGCCCCCTACGAGGGCAGCGACTTCGGGTCATCGATCTCATTGTCAATGGTCATGGAGTGAAAATCAAGGTCTCGAGGTGATGAATATGCATCAATATCATACCCGACGATGCAACGGTCGATATTCTTTCAACAATTTAGATGCGTTTTGGACTGATTCTGAAGTGTTGGATCTTGGGGTATGTCCAATGTTTGGGGTTGGTCGTTGGATTCGACATAAGGACTGCACTTTGACTCCGGCGTTCGATGAGAAGTCATTGGAGAAGAAGACGATGCAAGAATCTGGATAGAATATTATATATTTTTTATTTTAGATTTTTTCATGTGTAATTTGAGGATGTATTGTACCAAGATTTAATATAAGTCCCCTCCCTTGTAAAAAAAAATGTAGATACGAAGCATTTTTATGGTCTATATATCACTCTTTTCTTTGTCCGTATGAGTTAGAGCAATGTGCCTGGAAGCAGTGCAAAATCCAATTACAAGACAAATTGAGATGAATGTCAGTCATTGGATAAATCATCGAGTCTTACGTAGACATATGAGTTAGAGCTGCACATCTTACAAGCATGATACGTAATCTGTTTCTAAGACAAATTCGAGCACATAATACAACTATTAAGTAAATCTTCGAGTTTATCTAGGTGATTAACAAGTTGTGCGTCCTGTTTCAACACACGATCATTTTTTGCTAGTTAAAGTTAAGCGCACAATTATTATCTATCATTAAGTTCCATCTCACACTACAAATTAAGACCACAGGACGGTACAAGCTATTGAAACATGCAGAACACACAATTATTATTATCCATCATCCTGTCTCACAGCATCGATCAGATCCACGAATCGTGTGCTTACTGTGGTTGCTGTGGGTGCATGCGGGTGGCGAACTTAGGAAGTTTGCCGGTGTAACCCCCACCACTACCCCTTGCGAACCAGATTCCCATGGACGATTAGGTGCGGGTGGTGGACGCGCGCTATGAAGAACAGGAGGACCAGAGGCAGAGGGGTGGCAAGGCAACGTACCTTTGCCGGGGCGTGGGATCAGAGTGGTGACCACTCCGAAATCACCCGCCCGGGTCCATGATTCGACATGGTGCCCGTAGGGCCGATCGGCTAGTAGTCTGGTAGGTGAGCGCACGACAGCCTTGAGTTCGACGGAGTTGTCGTTGTTGGGGTTGGGGATGAAGGCGCTTCGGGAGGTTGGCACAAAAGCGAAGACACCAGGGGCTGAAGCGGATGTGTCGATGATGACCTGAACCCAGTGCTTGGAGAGGCGACCGATGACCTTCAACGTGGAGAGCTTGCCAATCTCCTACTTCAGATCATCCACGATCCCTTCAATGTCGGGGCGCCATCCGTCGAACACTTGCACGACCTTCTCTAGCACCTGGATGTAGGTGGTGCAGGCGTTGGCGTTGGTCGTGAACTGGCGTTCGAGGTTGTCGAAGCGGTTGTCCTGGGTGGAGAAACGCTTGTCGAGCTCTTCGAGGAGTAGCTTTGGATTCATGGTGCCACGGCGAGTTGCAGGCGGGTGAAGTGATCATGGTTGGTGAGGGAGCTGTGATCTAGATCGACAGGCACACACACCACAAATCGTGATTCCCTGATCGGAATTACAGAATCCCCAATCCAGGCTATAGCTCACATACCAAATTGAGGTTAGACAAACCAAATCAATTGGAATCGAGCGATCGAATGGATGAAGTGAGCCACGACGATCCATCGGAGCCGAGGACCGGTGTCTTTGATACCACTTGTGAGCAACGGAGCCAGGTAGGAGAGGATTTGGGGGAAGAATTGGAAGGAGGATTGAAAAGCAAGAGGAGCACGAGATAGTTCAGACGAGTTCTTAGCTGGATAACAGAATATGGTTTACAATTTGAATAACTTTCTCCTCACACCTCTCCCCCTTTAAGTGTCACAGAGGTCTCGCCTCGCTCAGCGCATGCAAGCGCTCACTTTGTGCAGGTAGCGGTGTCGTAGCGCGATGGGCTTCCTAGGCCTGTTCTCGCGTGCCGGACTCTGATGGGGCATGGTGCTGAAATTCTCCCCTCTTTTGAACACTGCTTGTATTGAACCTCATTTTGTACCAAGTAGCATTTACATGGTTGTCTTTAAATGGGCTAGATGACCATTTAGGTGAACAATGCCTACAATTAGAAATTTAGAACCCCAACAACATATCATACTAAGCAAATTAGCGATGGTACAAAGCAATGGAGTGGACTATCATTAGTATCATGCGATTAGTGACACTGATCAATTATCACCAATGACCGATTACACAGGGCGGGGGCAGACAAGCAGTTGTTAGATAAGTAATTCAACATATCTCTATGGAGGGTAGAATAGAAGCGAAAGAGAGAGGAACACAAGCAGCTGATAAAATAGAATGGAATCGTTAAACACCATCTAAATGGTAAACAAATAACTTGTTTACTATTTATTAGGATGGCATTGGTTGCATATGTATATAATTATGGCCCCTTAGGCGGCTTGGGTAGTACCCTAGTCTTACTAAAAAGGGAAAGGTACAAGAGCTATATCAGACTCTCTAGAAAACCAAATCTAGAAACCCAAGCAAGCTCACTAGTCAACTCTATCTCCCACACTAAGCTATCCTATACTACTAAAGATAAAGTGGAGTTATTCTACTCTTCTCTTGAAGCTTAAGTCATGAATGGAGAGGGGGTGTGAGCCGCTATTTATAGATAGATAGAGGTGGACTCATGGATCCATGTGCTTCACACCATAGCCCTTGGATTAAACCATCATTAAATCAAGGGTTGAGATGCTCCACATTTGTGCTTCCTTGCATGGGTGCTTGCACAAAGGTGGTGGTGGTCTCCTAGGGGTCGGTTGACCAAAGGGGGGGTTAAGACAACCCCCTCTCTACCCGGCATGTGGCCCCATCCCCTCTGGTGGGTTGGGTCCCTGGTTGGTGTAGAGTGAGTATGTGTTGTACTTTTATCCTTGGCACGTCGGTTTGAGCAGATGTGGGTCATCCAATCCAAGTGAGTTGATCTTCCATCCTTGAGAAGAAACACACTTTGCATCCGAGGGCGGAGAATCACTTTGGAGTGTGTCACATGGATCATGGAGGCTTTGAGAGGCTAGTGGGCCCATAGGGGTGGTCGGCCCACCCCCTATCATGGTCCCACTAGTTCATCTTCTCCATTTTATAATGTTCTATAGAGAAATACTCCATGCACATGTGAAACTTGTTATTTGATAAAATGTGCTCTTGATATGCTTATCTTCCTTTTATTTCGAGGTTGTTGATGGTGTTTGGAGTATGTGAAATGCAATTTTCACCATTGAAAGGATCTAAACAATGCCTAGAGGGGGGTGAATAGGCGTATCTAAAAAATTCTACACAAACTCAAAGTCAAATGTCAGCAACTGTCGGAAGTCCTGATAGTTTGAGCTAGAACTTCTGGTAGCCAAAAATTCCGAAGCAAACAGCCAGGAGTTCCGACTCCTATGTGGATTTTACTACAAGTGCTAAAATGAACTTTGAGTGCGAGATTTCTTACAACCCCACTTCAAGTGGTTAGGTAGACACGTAGAGTCACTCCCTTGATGCCAAAATGCTTCCACTCCATAGATCGAGTCCAAACCCTAAGAGGTGCTTTGAGGAGAAGAGAAACAACCAAGAACAAATATGATAGCACAAAACACAACAACAACAAGCACACGGGACACAATGATTTATCCCGAGATTTGTTAACCCCACAAAGGAGCTCCTACATCCTCGTTGTTGAGGTGGCCACAAAGGTCGGAGTCTCTTCCACCTCCTTGCCTCTCTCAAGGCAACCATAAAGGTCACTTGAGTTTTCCACTAAGAAATCAAGGATAATACAAACTTTTCAAGGCTCTTCCATAAGATGAAAGCTCTTGGGCGGGCCTAGTAGGCTAGGAGCAAAGCTCCAAGAGTAATAGATGCAAATCCAACCGGCTTGACGAAGAAATCAAGTGGTCAAGCTTGTTAAAGTGATTCTCTCACTCAATCCACTCTACTTTCACTCAAAACCCTAGGGGAATCAAAATTGGGAGCAAGGGAAAGAGGAGAGGGGAGTCTTGAATGCTTGGAAGCTCTTTTGGATAGATGTAGGTCGCATTGAATGAGTGGGTAACAGTTAGAAGAGAGGAGAGAGCTATTTATACTCTTAGGCAAAATCTAACTGTTCAGATCTGCGTCGGAAGTTCCAACACAAATCGTCGGAACTTCTAGCACCTACTAAAAACATTGTTCACACGCGTAGACAGCTGGGCTAGCTCAGCCAGAGTCAGAACTCCCGGTGGCTGTCAGGACTTCCTACACCTAGGACTTTCGGCTCCTGTTGGGACTTTCGATGGCCAGCCAAGCCTGGCGACTAAGTCTAAGAGTGCCGAGACTCCCGGTGGGAGTTGGGACTTCGACTATCGAAACTTTTGGCAAGACGCCGGGACTTTCGACTATCAAAAGTCCACAAGAAATATCTAGGTGTTCGTGAGGTGATTTAGTGTCACTCTTTTGATTTTATTTTTATGCTTGAGCACTCTATCTTCCTTAGACCACCTAAACTTGTATCCCTCTTTATAGTACGGTGAACCTAAAACCCAAAACAAGAAATGGAAACTTTGGAGATCGCTTTGAGTTCGTCTGCCTTATACTCTTGAAAATTTGAGGGACACCATTTCATCTTAGATCAACTATTTAAAACTTTCATGGGACTAAAGCTGTAATATATCTCATTAAGATCTCATTAGTCCCTAATTTGGATGTCATCAATACACCAAAACCCACATTGGGGGCAAATGCACTTTCAATCCCCCCTTTTGGTAATTGATGACAACCAACTTAGGCTTTTATAATAGTGAAAGAATTTTAAAGCTTTTGAACCCCAAAATTTATGGAGAGCTCCCCCTTAATGTATGCAATGAATTTGAATTTCAATGATGATCACATATACATCACTTGCATATATTAAGACAAAAACTCCCCTAAATTTTGCAATCCATGGGGTGTAACAAGTGTGTGAGCAAGTATATATCCGTGAAAAAGAAATGCAATATGACATGTTATATTCACACATAAGTGAAAAGAAGATGATGGCCAAGATTACAAAGTAGAAACTTTAAGCAACACATGGCCATCAAAAATATACCAATCATCAAACACATGTAAAGACAAGCACAATAGCTAATAAGATAGATAATAAGCATTACTTGTCCTAGAATCACCCATCACACACAAATACATATAGTTTTCCATCATTTAGTGCCACCACATGACATAGTTCATACAAGCCAAATAGTTTCAAAGTCATGAATGACAAACTAACTTATTACATGAGGATCAAAGCCTAACACTTCCCCTTTGTAAACAAGTGCCAAAAGGGGTAGGCCATGTGAAAGAACCGACTACTCAATGTCGTAGTCCTCATCATCATCATAGTCACCACCATCATCATCGTCGTCGTTGTCGTCATCATCTTCTTTGTGGTACTCCTCATCATCCGGACCAATGGTTTGCTTGCCATGGCGATGAGGCTGATTGGATGACTCACCATAGTACTCCTTGCAAGCCTCATCATAGAGCTCAAAAGGATCATGAAGTGGCTCCATGTCCCAAGGCGGTGTGGAGTGAATGTCAAGCTTTTGCTCAATCCGATGCATCCTCACAAGCATCTCTTGCTCATGCTCAGCACTAGCACAACATGCCCCAAACATATACTTCATGAAGAACTTGAACTTGCTGGGGGGCTTACCATCGGAGGAGGAGGAGGACTAAGGCTCCTCACTATGAACACAGTGGGAGCATGAAGCTCATGGTGGAGAAGCACGAGAGGTGGAACCCAAAGCACCTTTGCCTTTGCCTTTGGTAGCTTCTTCCAACTCTTTCTTCACCTGAAGGGACATCTTGTTGGAAACTTTGAGCACTCGATGAGGAACATCTATAGGGAAGCTTAGGACTAACACTTGCTCAATGATATGCATGATATATGGAGCATAAGGGAAGTGCCTCACCACATCCTCACTAGCCTAGAAAATCTTGTCCCAAATGTAGCGGCTGATGGAGAACTTGGTGAACTCATCATCGAAGCAGTCAAGCACAACTTGTGAGTCATCACGTAGATGAGTAGAGTCACCGCTTTTGGGATACAATATTTGATGAAGAATGTTATTCAACACATAGTAGTAAGGCTTCACCCAAACTATCTGACCATCAGCACGGTGACCCTTCAAGTACATGTACTGATACTCGTCCATAGCAAGAGGTGAAATCTCAGAAATGGCGGTGGACCGATGATCCTTGCGATCCAAATGAAGAAGATGAGCAAAAGTAGGAAAATCAACCTTGTAGTGCTTCCCTTCGGCGGTCCACTGAATGACATGGGTGTCGCCGATAGTGTCCAGGTGATAGGAGGCATAGAACGAACAAATCAACTCATTGTTCCATGGCTTGCGGAACTCCATCAACTGCTCAAGCCCCATCCTCTTTAGATCACGGACAAGCTGCTT